AAAGAAGGCACTTAAACAACTGAGCTAGTGGGCAGGCCCCCCTCGTTAGAAGTTTAAACGAGAGAATTTTATTTGACTCATATTTAACAGGTTGGAGGTAGGGAAATGGCTAATAGTAGATTGGTGACTGTATTCTACAAGGCCATTCAAGAAACCAGCTTCTTGTTTCAGTCATGTATTATGGTTTGTTTGTTAAGCTTTGTAACCCCTAGATCTCTGCATATGGCTGTTGATGTTTACATTTAAATTTACTTGAAATGAAAACATCCCTACCTATACTAGCTACATTTTAAGTCCTTAGTAATATGGTGGCTACTATTTAGTATGACACAAATAATACATTCATTATTCCAGAAAGTTCTTTTGGTCAGTACTGTACTGTTTGCGTACACATGCTTCTTGTGGCTCAAAGTGGCCTAAGTTCTAGTCTGTGAGAGGTGAGGATGAGAGGGAGAAAGGAAAGTACAGTTTTATTATAAATGGGTCTAAAGATGTACATACCGTTTCTGCTTATGGCCATCTTGTCAATATTAGCTATGTTCAACATCTCACTGTTTTGTAATGGTCATGGTTGGGTGGGGACAGGGGTTCTGTTATCAGAAGGAAGAAGGTGAGAACAAACACTAGAAGATAATTGGTTAGTGTACTGAAGGTATGAATTTGGCAGTAATGTTTTTTCACCACCCCTAAAATAAAGGAACTGGGAATTATGGGTAAAATATTTCTTTTCTTTCTTTCCCTACTGTCTTCTCCATTCCCCTCCCCTTTCCGCCCCCCCCACATCCCCTCTGATCACTTCATTTTCCCTCTCTATCTCCACTGTCTTCTCCCTCACCCTCTTCTTCCCCTCTCTCTTACTGTGTTAGGGATCAAATCCAGGGACTGTGCTGATCTACTTTTCTATCCTTTTTCAATTTCTATTTTGAGAAGAGTTTTCTAAAGTAGTATTTCTATATTAAAATATGGAATGATGATGTTATATTTATGTGTTTGCAAACAAAAAACTAGAGGTTTTGTTCTTGTTTGTATTTTGTAGATGTTCGGGCATGATTTTTGACATTTTGAAGATAAGCAACAATAAAGTACAAAGTCTAGTTAGTGGTTTAATTGTTCTTCTTTCACATTATACTTACCCATGTTTTCTCTCAGTGTCTGACTGTCTGTCTGTCTGTTATAAATCATATAAACTATTTAGCAGTACAGTGAAAAGCACATGGTCTTTGTTCATACCATTCTCTATCCCTAATCTTGAGACTTTGAAATGTTTATGTTTATAACTTCCATATTTCTAATGTCTAATTCAGTATTTCTTGATTTTTCAATTATAGAACTTATATTCTAATTACATAATCAACCATGAACCACCATCTCCTATTATGTTTTATTAACTTTAATATCTTACAATTCTTTCATGTACATTCTGTTTAAAATTGCCTTCAAATTAGCAACTAAGGTTTTATCATTTTTGTACTAACTTTTACTCCTGGTCTATCTAACTTTCCCATTTTTGTCACTACTTTAAAATTACAGTGATCAGTTATGCTTAGTTTCTGTAACTATAATCCATTTAGCTTGTTCTTACTGTATTCTAAAAATTGTAAGTAATAAACACTTTGAACTTTTTTTGATTATGGAATATTTTTCAGTGCAAAGTTAGTGGCAGTACATTTATAGTTGTTCCATAGCTCTTTGTTTATAATTTAATTTAAAATTTTCTCTTTGGCTTCCATATTTTAAAAACTCCCATAATCTCCAGTGTATCAGTCATACTGTATTTTACAGATTTCTGCCTTTTTGGTTACCATACTGGAGTTTTCTCTTCTAATGTGTTTTGTTAGTGTTCTTTAAATATTTTATGGTTTCATAAAAGTTGTTAAAATTTATTTTAATTACTGTAATTCTTTATTTTTTGTAACTAGATTTTATACTTGAAATTTTCTCAATTTCTAAATAATTTTTTTAGTGAATTTGAAGTAGTGAAGTTTTCATTGTCAGATGTCCATATATATGAACTTCAGAGTGATGTGTTAAAACATGTAATAAAAACATTCACATTTTTGGAAAATGGAAAGATTAAGATGTTTAATCAATACAGTTTTAAAAATAAGGATTAATCATAGTCATTCATGTTTTTCTATTTTGTTCTAGAATTATTTTTCTTACTGATTATAATAAAACTTCAATCTATGGATACTTTTTTTTTTTTGGGTTTTTGTTTTTCAGGTGATACTGGGGATTGAACCCAGATCCTTGTGCATGCTAGGCAGACACACTATCACTTAGCTACCTCCACAGCTTGTTTTATTTCACTTTGTATTACATTATTGACTGTGTCTTTAGATGTAGCTGTGTTTCCCCAACTTCATTACCTAGCATTTATTGAAATTAGCCTATTATACTTGGTTAGTAGCTAAATGACAAAAATCATGTTAAAAATCACCTAGGCTAATTTTAGTTCTGAACTCTTGATGAGCTGTACCATCAGTTAAGTTGCTTAATACTATTAGGCTACCTTTTATCTTTACTAGAGGATGGTATTGTAAAAATGTTCACATCCCCACTTCCTAGTAAATACACTGATTAATTTAAACCATTTTGTTGGTAGCTTATGATATGCAAGGGATTGCATTTTTACAGAATGATATATTTCAAAGGATATTGGTTTCTGTTGTAGAAAAATTCATGCATTTAGAGCAACTTAAAGCCAAAACAGTTGTTCTTGTGCTTCATGTTTAAAATATTAGTCATCTTGAGTGCATGCCTAGGTTAAATGTCAGATACTATATATTGTGCAAAAAGAAAATTTATTGTTAGGAGACCAGGGTGTATCTGTGCTTATACAACATTTTCCTTAGAGGATCGTATTTGAACTAATATCAAGCAGATTTTTGTAAAGTAACATTTATTGATAATAAAAGAGTTCATCGAGGAGAAAAACAAATAAAGGAAGCATAAAAGTCTCATATTGTGTAAAACTACAGAAATGGATCATGAGTTTGACAGGAAGTTTAATGTGTACATAAGCACAGGCTGACAGAAACATGCTGTATGTGCCAAAGGTTTCAGTGATGGAAAACCGAAACATAGTGCTCACTGACCACAGCATGAGCCTTGACACACGTTGTAAATAATCCAGAGATCTATGACTGCATTAAGCACTAGGCTGGTGTGTTAACGGCAGTAAATCTATAGCAGCAGAGAGGGTTGGCATGCAGAAGTTCCTCTGATTAAATTTTGTAATGGATTAAAAAGAATGTATCAACTATTTTTATTTCAAGTCATGCCTCTTCAACTTTCCCTCAGTAACCTACCCCAGTGTGATGGTTCTTAATTTTTTCTATTCACCAGACTTGTATATGTGGACACTTGCTTCAGTACCATCAAGTTAAAAGCAGAAGATGCTTCTGGTAGAGAGCATCTAATCACTGTCAAGTTGAAGGCAAAGGTATGTGCCTTGTTGAACTATTTTTCTGTCCAAAAAATACTTTGAGAAATGAACCTTTTGAATATTTTCAAAGTTAAGGAGACTAACTGCTCTAAAAGTAGATGATGCTTTTAGAAACTGATTTTCAGAGCCTCAGAATTTATTCACCAGGTTTCCAAAGTCTAGGTATTATTTCTTGTCAGTTTCAATCCAAATTTGATCAAAATGTAGACTTTATAACATTACAAAAAAGATCCAGCAGCCTCAAAGTACTATAATACCATTTTTGTAAAATCTTCTGCTAAAAGAGTGGGTGCTTCTTTTATCTTAAGGAAAGCTCTCCTGAGAAAGTCTTTTTGTCCTCAACTCTTCTTAGGAATTATCATTGTAGGTCTTACTCTGTCTCCCCAACTCTCATTCCCTAACATAGGCCCACATGTGCTTTTAATGTACTTTTTTAAATATACTTTTTATTATTTGTTTGTTTTGGCTGGAGTTTTTTGACATATGTGCTGTAAAAATTTTCAAAGATTGTGCTTTTATAGAATCATTGTAGGTTGCTAATCCATAATTATTGGCTAATTTTAGTGGCACAGAACATCTTTATTTCTGTTTCATCTTGAATTTTTAATTCTCAGTTGGGAATTTTAAGATATAAGTAGGATAAATTCAATCTATACTTAGCAATCAATGAGAAAACTTTAAAATTTAAAGAAAAGCAGGACATCCAACTTTTTTATTGTTTCTAGTAGTCATCAATCAATTCTATATCAGAAGATTGTAGCGATGAAAAGATCAATTGTGTTTGTCCTTTTTAAAAATGTGTCTGGCATTTAAGCTTTCCACAAGAGAAAATTAATATAGAAAGCTGTACTGGGTGACACAGGAAAGTTGATAGCTCATAGTGGCTGTGGATTAGACAGGTTGAGAAATGACTCGGTCTCTTCATACACGCAGAATGTTTAGGCATAATTTAAGGACATGTATAGTAAATGTTGAAAAACTAGTGGCATATTAGTATAAGAAGTTAGATGGTTATTTTAAAAATGTTTTATTTTCCTTTTGAGTGCTTAAAAGTATAGCTTTTTAAAAACATCTAGGAAAACTTTGCCTTTATCCTTCCAAAAGGTCACATACTTGCCAATGGCAAGGGTTCTATCATTTCCTTCCAAGCACTATTTGTTTATTTTGTACATTGATAAAAGTTATTTTACTGCTATGAAGATCAAAATAAGGCTGTTAAATACATCTTGTCCCTATTTTTATAAGCACTTGTACTTACTGATAAATAAATGCCACCTTTTTACTTTAAAAAAAATTGTGTTTATTTTTTGTTTGCATATTAACTGTATATTAATGGGAGTCACTGCAATGAAAGATTTTATTAATCTGATTTGATGAAACCTCATTTGTTCATAGTACTGAGAGAAATGCTGTGCTCTGTTGGCTTTATTCTTACATCTTTTCAAGATAGATGAGCTCACTCCTAATATTTCTTAAAAATACGTGCCAGGGTCAGTTTTGTAACTTGTATAGTTAAAAAGCACCATTGTGGACACACTGGAAAAAGAAAAATCTTTTAGCTGGGCAAGAATTGAGAAATGTATGTAAAAAACAG